GGCAATATGCTGACTCTGTAAACCACTTAGAGAGGGCTGAAAGCCCTATGAAGCGGTATATAAGTCTAACTGCTATTGCTATTGCTATTTTCCAGCGTGAGCATCCCCGACGTGTGTGTGCATACACCCGCACTCCCTTTTCGGCACTTGAAAAGTTCGCCATCACTGCTATAGGGTTAAAAAAAAAGGCCAGGAAACTACATTGATAATAAGATAGTCTTCGACTTACAACCGTTCAATTTAGTGATTGTTCAAAGTTACGGCTGGAAAAAAAAAGCGATGTGATCTTAACCTTCTGAGAAGGGAAGTCAATGGGGAAGCCAGATAAAGATTAATATCCATGTTATGAACGTAACAAGTGCAGTGATTCACTTAACAACTCTGGCAAGAAGGTTCGTAAAACGGGGCAAAACTCACTTAACCCCCAACTTGCAACAGGAATTTTGGTCATGTCAATGACAATCTGGATTTAAATGGACTGGTATTTCCCAATCTTGGAAAATTGAAGCTATGTAGACAGCCATCGGAACGTTTAAATTGTAAGTAGCTTTTCAGGAGTCTGTCATAACTTCAATCACTCGCTGAGTGACTGGTTGTAAGTCGAGAACGACCTGTATTTTCTTTTCTTATGACTAAAAATCAATTGATGTCAACAGTCTGAAATCTACTCCTTTCTCTTTTGCTCAGCGTATACATGTAGTCCTCAACCTACGACCACAATTGAACCCAAAATTTATGTTTGTTAAGCGAGAAACTTGTTCAAGTGAGTTTTGCTCCATTTTACATCTTTTCCCGACGCATTTTGTTAAGTGAATCAACGCGGTCCATTAATTAGTAACACGGTTGTTCAGTAAATCGGGCTTCACCCCATGAACTTTGCTCTGTCAGAAGGTTGCAAAAGTGGATCACAAGACTCCAGGACACTGCAACTCTCATAAATGTGAGTCAGTTGTCAAGCATCCAAATCAGAGGTGTTCTTAAGCCACTTTGGACTGGTTCGGGCCAGTTCAGGGGAACTGGTATTGGAGATCGTGGGTGGGTCCATCCCTGCCCCTCCCTTCCCGTCCTGGCGCTGTACTGTCCTATTTTGTCATGTTTTTGAGGCTGGGTGCATGTGCGAAAGGCCGGTGCCAGTGGTGGGTTGCAGGCGGTATGACCCAGTACAGGCATACCGGTGCCTGCCGGAGCACCGGATACCATTCCAGTACGGTGCTCCGGAGGGCCCATCCGCCCACCCGAGCTCTTCGGTACTTCCGTACACGGAGTGCACGGTGCCTACACAATGCTCCACTGAGCAGCTGAAGCATCGCAGAGGCTCGCGGGAAGCGTCGCAAGAGGTAAGGATGCATGCGCACGCTGCATGCGTTCATGTAGTGGACGCTAGGCCCCGTTGCAACTGTACCATTTGCAACGGGATCCGGAACCCACCACAGGGCAGTGCATGCACGGAAGGTGTGCACATGTGCGATGAAGTGGTGGTAAAAATAAGTGAAACCCGTCACTGATCCAAATGTAAATCATTATCGATCCATAGCATCCAAATGGTCATTATGGATCGGAGGAGACATAGTATTTGATTAGCTGTCAAACCTTTTTTTTAAAAAAAA